CAAGCCCACGGTCGTTCGCGAAATCCTCACAAACACCACGGTCGTTCGCTCTCGGCGAGTTCGCTCGCTGCTCACCCACGCGATTCCCATCCGGAGACAGCATGGTGGCGAGTTCGGGGGCCCAGTCTCCACCCGTGCGGCAGCTGGTCCTTGGGGGCCGCTTTGACTGCTCTCCCTTTGGGCTTTGCATGGCGCAGGTGATCCTGGAGCAGCACTGCGAGGCTGAGTACTGGTTCGGCAACGGTGACAGGTCGTTTTTGTGGACACTCAAGAGAAGTAGCCTGCTTGCTGCCGTCTTGACTAAGAGGAAATGTGTTGGGCAACCCTCGACATTGTGCCCGTGGTGTTCGCTATTTTTGAATACATTTGATGATTTCAGGTATAGTTTGGGGTATCGAAAAGCATCGATTTCGGTATCGTTTTTACACGTCTGTTTTGGCCACAACAAATGAACTCGAGCTCGCTTAGTAGGAGCCATGGGATTGGAGACTCTGGCTGTCACAAAGCTGGCGCCAAAGGCAAGTAGGACCCAACACAAGGTACCAAATCTCTCTGGCATCGTTTTTCAGGGTTCCCATCGTTTTTACACAGGGGAACATAAGGAAACACATTCTTGGACTTTCCTAAAGAACTCTTCATCGCGTGTTTTGGCCCTTTTTTTAGATGCCGATGATCGAGGTATGTCTGACGTCGCCGGGCCTGTTGGTGCACAGTCATTTGACCTTCAACTTTCTTCGAAAGCTCCTCCTGATCTAGCTTGCCTGATCTGGCTTCTCCGCCTGCTGCATGACAGTCGAGTCAAGCGAACAACCAAAAGCCGAGCCAAGCAGTTTGCAACATCTTCGGCTGGAGACGGTCGCTTCATCAACAGCACGAGTAACATGTTCCATGGCATTCAACCACAAAAGGCAGCCAACCAATCAACCAATCATTGACATTCGGAAAAAAGACAGCAGCCCAGACATTTCTCGACCCGCCAATTGTAATTAGGGGTCGCCTGGCTGGTTCTCCCCAGAAATTCATGGTTTTCCCGGGCGGGACTGCCCCAGCGCTTCCGTCCTTGGACTGCCCCAGCTGGATGGGCTTTCCTTGAAGACGGTGGGGGGTGTATGGCGGAGCCACAAAGCCATGGGGTCTCCATGTCCCTGAGGTTTCGTCTTGGGTGTGCGTGAGACTATGACTATGAGAATTAAAGGAGTTGGCCAACCAGCACACCTTTTTGAAGAGAGATGGGCACAAGAGCTACGATCGAGACGTGGTATCAAAACCATTCAAAACCTCAACCTTTCTCTCTGTGGTAGGTTCCAAACGGTTTTACAGAAATTGTGGATTCCAATATTATTCCATGGTAACCAAGCGGAATCTACTACTACAGTCCAAACATCTGACAACATGATTGTAACATGATACAAAATTCTAGTATTGTTCCTTTTGGATCCTATGGTATTCATGTCGTATGTCCGACGCCTATAGGCGTTCTTATTTAGCTTCCTGGACGAATGCTCCCTAAACAACGAGCCCAAACAAGCGGCTAGTTCAACAACAATAGATGATCATCAAACTTTCCACGGCCTCAGCTGTTCAACCATCCATCCTTTGCCCTCCTTTCTGGAGGGAAAAACCGTTGCTGAGGTTTCCCAACTCCTCGCTGCTGGAGGATTCTCCATCCTCATCACCTCAAAGCGAATCCCTCACCGCCAGGCTGAGCTGTCTGAGACTCCCTCATGGGTTTCATCCAGCTCCAGGGGGTGGAACCCCTGGGGGTGGGACACCCTTGAGCAGAGGCCTATGGTGCCACTGGTATGGCCTTACTAGGTACTCTCTACTTAGCGTCCACTCAATAACCATTCGCAGCCGCAGTAGCAACCTGGGGAAGCCTTACTAAGCAAATACACCTTCTAGAGGAAGCTGATAAGGCCTTCCTAAGCTCTTACTAAGTCTGTTGTGAAAACATCAACACATCACAAAAAACAAGCCAACTTCGCACTATGCAATTCTCAGGGGGGGTACCACCCCTAAAAGTCCACCCCCTATGGCTCCATAGTGGGTTCTGGTTCTTGTCCTAGAGTCATGTTAGCTTGAGACTTGAGACATGTGCCTCTTTGAGATGCACTCCACAAAAAAATGCAAACAAACAAACCTCGCACATTGACATCTTCTCCCAAAATTCACCCACAAGGACGAGTCAGTACTTGCTAAGCATGTATACTTCTTGCTGTTTCCATGTGTGAAGGTAAATCAACAACAGCCAAAAAATAAAAAACACACACATCAACCCACAATAACAGGTATATCCACAGGTTCACATCCACAGGTTTCTCTTTCACATCCACAGGTTCGCACAATGAGGCCGGATCGCTCGGCTCCGCACTGTAGTAAGAGTACTCGGACGAGGACTCCTAGAAATCGAAGCAGTCTGAAGCTCCCTGAACTTGAACCAGCTCGTTCGCGAAATTGGTCCGCAAGTGGTCAAATATGGTCAAATGGTGCTGTGTTGTACTTGAACCAGCTCGTTCGCGAAATTGGTCCGCAAGTGGTCAAATATGGTCAAATGGTGCTGTGTTGTTCCCACACATCGAAATGTCGGGGAGCGGGATCAGGAGCTGTGGATGGTAAAACTGCGTTCCTTCCAAGAGAAATGAACCATGTTGGAGCCCTGACCAGCGAAACTCTGCGAGCGCAACTGGGTCCACAGTGTCAGCGAGCGCCTCCTCCGGCAGGCTTGGATGCTGTGGGTTCGCCGTGTTTGGCTGCTTGCGCACCTGGCATGCTGACGCAAATGTGTGGATGCAAGGCATCGAGATAAGCATCGAGATCAGCAACATGCAGCAAATGTTTGTCTTGCGAGGGCTTGTGGCTGGCACCCCTGGTTGAGAATTGTAGGTGCACTTGTTTGGAATCGTCCGCGGGGAAGGCCCTTTAGCTACAAGTAAGGCAATATCCCCTTTGCTCGTCGTCGGTGTTCATGAGGCACTTATGTCGAGTCAACATGGGCATTTACAGGGCCACATCGCCCCAAGATCATCCAGATTGAACGCCCAAACTGAAAGATTCGTCTACAAACCACTGGTTACCTGGTTGGCTTCAAAAAGCCTGGCACTGGCTCCAGGTTTGATGCCAAGGCCTGGCTCCACGATTCTGTGACGACGACCTGCCTCCACATCTGTCATCCTTGGCCGCTTGGCCTGGCATGTGGCTGCCGAACTGAGTTCACGGACCCTCTCCTCGGCCTCCCCTCTGAACGACCAAACTGCTGAACACACCAGCAGTACTCACTACTCAGTATAGTGAGTTTGATAAATCCACGACAGACTAAACACATTTCACCGGCGGAGTCCGTGTAGAGGCCAAACCAGCAACCGGGATCTGACGCACACCTGGGTACACATGCCCACACCTACCGCTGCAAACCCACACCCGATTCCATAAACATGCAACCTGGAAAACATGGACGTTTCCGGATATTTCCTGTCACGCCGAGTGGTGTTTTCGAGGTTTGGTCTCTTGGGGCCCCAGTGGTGTGCGGAACCGTGACAGGCGCCGTACCAGCCTGGGGGGCAGCTTTAACTGCTCTCCCTTTTGGCTTTGGGCGGTGATCCTGGACTTGCGGAGCGCGAGGCGAAGCTGGTAGCCAAGCTGCAAACGTAAGTACCCATCGAGCCCGAATCGGATTCACGAGACGTGAATGGTCTACCCTGCTCGACCATAGCCCTATCTGCGGGAGTTCTGTATGCAAAAGTGGGAAACATCTATAGAATTTCATGACGCAGTTTCATCTGACGTCGCCGGGCCTGTCGGTGCATAGGCGTTTGATCATCCATTTTCTTCGAAAGCTCCTCTTGGTCTAGCTTGCCTGATCTGGCTTCTCTGCCTGCACGAGATCAAAACGCTGGCGGCTGACCAAAAACCGCAGTCAACCGATCCGAAGCGGGCTCTGAACCGATCCAACGGACAAATCAGCACCTTTCCCCACAAACGGAGCTATTGTGACGTTGAACGTCTCTCGGTCGCTCGGTCTAAAGATCTGGATTTCGTCGGCTCGACACGCCAAACCGACCAGAACGGGGTCCTCGGATTGCAGCCTTTGGACGGGCTTTCCTCACAGGTCTGCAAACAAGGTCCGCCTAGAGCTGCACCTACCCGACCAAGCGGAAACAATATTCAGAAAACATTATATAACATCACATTCAAAAGCTACACTGCCGCACAAAAAGAGACACGAAACAAGAACAGCTCATAACATCTCATAACAGTTCCATGTTTCACGGGCCTTTGCTTGGATGTTGGACTCTAACTTCCAAGTGTCACACAAAAGGATCCATCATGATCCATCAAAGCTATCCTATGCTATCCCTATGCTATGCCTACAGCTTGGTTTCCGCCAAGTCCTCCGTCTGTTTCGGCCTCACGTTTCGGCGCTTTTTGTCTCGGGCCCCGGCGCTTTGGCGGTCTTCAAGGCCGCCTCGTAGCGCTTCTCCCGCGCCGTGCGCGGCCTTGAAGAGCGTCCCACAGGGCTACGGGAAAGAAATGCAAAGATGTAGCATATCGTGCCAATAACTCAGCGTGGTAGATATTATGTAGCACTCTATATTAGCACTCTTCAATTCAGTTAAACTCATATAAAGCCACCCCCCATATGAAGAATCTGGAGGGGGTGATGAATCAAGAGTGTACATTAAAGACCCTACTATCCCCCTCTTGAAGGGGACATTCCTGGACACGTCCAGGTCCTAGGTCGTCTCTAGGCCGCCGTATTTGGGCTTGGTCAGTCATCGGTGCTGCTCGGTCGCCTCAGCCTCATCTCACCGTCCTCTCTGCGTCGACCTGCGGAGCACGAGATCACCCATCGCCTCTTTAGGCCAAGTTCAATTGCACTTAGTGCAATCTATGCTGAAATAGTCGTTTGCTTTCGGTCAAACGAGTGGTCAAAACTGCAAAACAAACCACCTTCCATGCATGCATCGTCTGGGCTGGATCGCGACTCTGACAAAATACACATGTTTGCGCACGCTCAAGTCTTGTGTATTGCGATCGCAGGGTGGTGCCCGCCAGAATGCACAAACAAACCGGGCTTCGGGGCATGAAAGCCTGCGACAGCCTGCGACGAGGTCGCCCGTTCGGGACATGTAAAATCGTCTAAACAAACCACGGGCCACGGCCAAACAGGTGCACGGGGGTGTGATGCACAAAGTGCCAAATGAGGATACCAATCCAACGGTCGCGGCACTCGTCGATCTTGGTGGTTTCAATGATCTCCTGGACGAGACTAATCACTGGTCAATTGGGAGAACATGGGATAAATTGTAAATCCATTTATCTAGACATATTACAGTAAAACAAACATAGCGCTGTAAGATACATGTTCAACATGTTCTACATCCAAACAAACACCAGTGAGTCTCATGAAACTCTCAACTCCAATCCAGCGGTTTGGCCGGTATTTTGGCCGGCTTAAAGACCAAACCAAACACCGGTCGATCACCGGTAATCTCCTTCTGCAACGCCGCGGGGATCCACCAGTTCACCATGTAGCCCGAGTTCTTGTTCTCATTGGCCGCGGCCACGAAGCAAGCATCGTGAGGTCCCAGGCTCGTGGCGAACATGCCGGCACCCCATGGCCACCAGGTGACCACCAACCTGGTCATGGCCACCAGGTGACCACAATTCGGAGGTGCCAAAGATTTGGAATCCGTGGATGACTACCACCACATGTTCGTCGTCACTTTCTTTGTGCATGTAAAAGTAAGAGCTTGCATATGAACTACACATTCCTATATACATATATGTACTGTGCATGTTGTGCGTTGCGCTCATGTTCTAGGCATCTCCGGATTCTACATTGTTCAAGTACACTCTACATGTTTGTCTCCATTGATTTTGAAGAAGTGGTGGTCACCGTTCACCATCCTCCGGGCCAAGCAACTTGTTCTTTTGGCCGTTCTCCATCTTCATAACGTTCAAGCAAGCATGGTAGGCCTGCTCCTCTCCTGGGTATGAGATCTTGGGCACTGGAGGCATCTCCCACTTGCCCGGCTCACCGATGCAGCCATAATTGCAGTCACCCACCGCATAGATCGTGCCATCAGCCCAAACACCCCCGCCCAGGGACGGCTTCCTTGGATACTGAACCGAGCATGCCCATAGATTCCCCAGAAACATGAAGGACTCACTCAATGCAGAAAACATGAGACGAAACTCTGAATCACTGAATCACCAACTCTGAATCACTGACCAGCCAATTTCGCCAGGTGTCTGGGTCACTTGGAGATGTTTGTTGAAATGAATCCAACCACCTCCTCCGGGGCCCTTGTCCGAGAGCGTCTCAGCTGGCATGAAATAGTTCGAGGCCTTCACTCCGATGCACACGTAGATCTCGTCCGCACCATTGGGGAGCTCGATTTGCTTCCAGAACTCCGGGTTCTTGGGGTCATACTTGCCTGGGCGACCGGGGTCGAAGGTCTGGTGATGTCTTGGATCCATGGGCAGCTGCTATCATTGAGGAAGGGAAAATAGGGACAAACACATGATCCAAACTCGCCCAGCTGCAATTGTAGAACTCCTTGATGCCGCAAGCTGCCATATAATCTGAGCAGTAGTCAGCAGCACCATCCGGCAGAGGCCCCAAGCATCGAGGAAGGAAATCGATGATGGTGATCTTCAAGTTCCTTAGACGTTGCGCCAAGCAAGCCCAAACACAAAGCAAAGGACGCATGACCAACATATTCTCTCTGAATTTCCTGTCCATTTCAGGGACCATTTCGCCAACTCTTCGAAAGTCGAAAAGAACCGATCTAAAAGGCCCAGGCTTCGGAAAGAAGTGCTCCAGTTCTGTGGCCCACTCCACTCCGATGAAGCCCGCACCCACAATCAAGACCGTGGCCTGCAGCTGTAGGGGTTGCTTGTTCATACAGTTCGCAATCTAGACGGTTGATGAATCAACTCATATGAAAAAAATCTGATCCAAATGGATCCATCATGAATACATATATATATATATGATTATATATGTATATATCCCATGCACTCCATGGAATATATGCCTACATTGACCCCCAAACCACCCCAATGTAGGCAAATGTGGCATACATGGAGCGTCTGGGTATATCATGATGATATAGTTTCTCACCCATACTCGAAAGGTCCAAAACAGAAACCAACACCGGTGCCGTCTGATCCCCAAAGCAGGCCTGCTTCTTGTTGAGGTCCGTGAGCTTCTGGTACTCCTCCAAAACATGACGACGACGCCCCTCCAGGTAGCGCTCATCGATGTGCTTCCAATCGGAATGGCCTCGGGCCTCCTCGTGGACCGTGGGGAACCACAAGGACTCGCCCATGGGCTTGAAGGGGCCGAAGTTGCAGCCGGAGCAAATGATGCAATAGTCGAAGCCAACCTCATCGATGTTGTTGGAGAACATGGTCTTGATACTGGCAGTCTTCCTTGGAGTTGGCGATGAGTTAGAAGGAGACCAAACGGAATATGCATACTGTATGCGAACATACATGCACGCACATGCACCTATGATCACCTATGCGCATCATCTACATTACAATCTCTAAGAAACGTTTCATGGTGTTTCATTGCAAGATGCAAAAAGCAACTTCCACCCATGAGACAAGCACATCCACCGGTCTTATGTTTTACACATGTTATGTGGTCACGCTTCCTGGCTCCATTGAGCTCCTTGACTTCTCCCCAAATGAACTTCACGCCCATCTTGCGCTCGTAGACCGGTTGCAAGGTGAAGGTCAAAGAGTCTAAATGGGCCGGCCGGACAAAAGCCCGCAAGACGCCTGGAGTGTACTCGAAGTACTCCTAGCGTCTTGCTGTCCACCAAGAACAAATGCAGGAAAAAAAACCATGGGAACGCACAAAAGATCATGAAAACTTCATTTATCCCAATTCACTGCCTTTCCTTGTCTCTTCCGTTCTTTCTCGAACTACTCTCAGTAAGAACACTCCTTGCAGTCCACCACCGTGACGTAGAACTGCTTCTTGAGCTCACGAGCGCAAAAGTTTCCCGTGAACTGGCCACCGATGAGAAGGACCTTCTTCTTGGCTCCGGGGGCTGGCATGGCTGAAAAAGGGGACGGAAAAGGCGGCCGTCAAGAGAATCAACGTCTTGAACCAATGAACTGAGCAAAAAAGGTCACATGCTCAGAGTGTGACCTCCCAAACTCTGTCGTTGCAAATCTTCACTCTTGATGGCCTTTTAATGGAGGTGCGGAAGTGGAACCTGGCAGCCAAACATGATGGACTCTGGATCCTGATTCCAAAGCCTTCTACACCCTTGCCAACAAAACTTCCTGGTGGATCTTGGTGGTGCGGCTACTATGACTACTGGGCTCAGAATGGCGGCCTCCACGCGAGCCGTGGAGGGGTCGAAGGGACGTCTCAGCGAGCTCGCCGGAGCGGTGACCTGGAGGCCGTTCCGAGGGCGAAAGCAAGAAGGTTGATGGTTGACTTGGATCGTTTCGGGGAAGACGTGTCACGTCATTAGTTTAGTGGGACCCTGGCTCTGAACCATGCCCTGTCAGGTTTAGGTTTGAAAAAGGATCTTCCTTGACAAAACCCCACGCCAACTCATCAATTCAGGGGCGGCATCGTGCCGTGGAGAGATCGAGTACCTTGGGAGGTGTAACAGGGCCACCAACCATGTCTGGTCTCTGGAGAAAGCTGTCCGTCAGCAAAGAGCTCCCAACTCTCCAACGTTGGTATCAGCTCAGGAGAATCCATTGTTCTTGGGAGAACGCAGAGAACGCTGCTTTCTGTGCTCCTACTAGTAGCACAACGACTGCGACTGCAGCGAAGCTCGTGCCTCCCCGCGGTCTGTGACGAGGCACCTGGAGGTAACTCTTTGGACATCGGAAACCCTTCGCCAGTTTACTCCACATATTCCATGTCTGGAAAGGACTTCCAAAACTCTTTGCTGACGACGTGGGAGAACTCGGCTCTGGAAAAGGAGGATGCAACCCCTGCTGCAAGCCAAACTCAGCTGCCTGTCTTCAGAATAACACAAATCCAGCCGGACCACCCATAGCATCTACGCGGCACATCGACCGAGCATATCGTTACACAAGAACTCGACCGGCTACTCCGCCGGCGTCCGAGCAAACCGCATGCCCCACCGCCTCCGACCACTGCACCACACGTCGGTCTTCGTGGGGCCGTCCCCTGCGATCTACCGAGGGTCGCCGTCCTCTTCGACCTGAGGGTTGGCGCACGGAGGTGGGTAGGAACTGGGTGGGTGGAGCCTGCCACAAAGAGAACGAACAGGTTTAACTTTCAAAGGGGCATCTCCAACTTTTGGGGAGCCGGACCAGGACTGCATCTGGAATGGGTCAGGAGTGATAAAACAAACACACGTGAGCCGACCAGGTCCATCAACAAATTGCTTCTGATACCTTTATAACATTTTGATAGTGATGATCTGGCCAAAGGGCGCCTGCAAGTAGCAAATAATTAGCAACCCTTTCCTGAGTGTCCCTGCGAAGATTGACCCAGGACTCAATTCAAGCCCAAAACCAAGGACCCCAAATAAAGCCATTCATAGTCCCTTGATATCTCCAAACTCTTCGGAAAACTGGGGTTCCCATGGGTTCCTGGGTTTAAATTTGCCACCGAAGACACACCCAGCGTTGCTCCGTTCCATCGTTCGCTGAGATGCCCCAACGCTCGCGCTCACGCGAAGATGGACGGTCTTCATCCCGTCGCGCGCGCCGCATCCGATACTTGACCTGAGTTGGCCATAGGTACTAGGAACAAGAAGCTACTAGGAGCAAAGGGTTTATCAGATTTGGTAGTGGGTCAACACAGGAACTGGGTTGACGCACTGAAAATGAACAGAATAGACTACCAGGAAGGTCAACCTACCAACGACTAGGGGTCCGGGTTTTACCGACAGCCACTTCTCAAGGGGAGTCCCCAAAAATACCCCTGGCTCCACCAGTGCCGTGGCACTGGTGGAGCCAGGTGGGTGTTTGGTTGCAACCAGAGTTGTCTCACACAAACGACTTATCTAAGGGTCGTAAGTAAGTGGAGTAGGCGAGCAGGTGTGTAGCAAAAGCAAAAAACTGCTATCCTAAAATGTGACTATAGCGACTAAAGTTCAAAAACCAAGCCCAAAGAAACCCGAAAGAAGTCCCTATAGTAAGTGGGATACCTTTTTTGTTCCCTCCCTTTGTCACTGTCTCGCTCGCGCAGAAGCAAAAAGCAAAAGCAGAAAGCAGAAGCAAGAACAGAAGCAAAAAGCAAAAGCAAAAGCAGAAGCAACAGCAGAAACAAAGGCAGGAAACAAAAAGCAAAAGGAAAAGCAAAAAGCAAAAGCAAATGCAGAAGCAATAGCAACAAGCAAAAAGTTGAAGCAAAAGCAGAAGTAGAAGCAAAAAGCAAAAAGCAAAAGCTTAAAAGCAGTAGGGGAAAAAAAAGCGAAAAACGAGTCCAAGAGAAATATGCCTTTCTGTGTGGCAAATGAAAAGCCCTATATACATTATGAATATATAAGTTGATACAATATGACCCTATATGACAAGATGATACCCTATTATATGACAATCTGTTACAAACCGATACCAGTATGCAATCACACTTTTCCGGCCGCCATTGCACTGCATTGTTGCAAAACTCAGCTTTGGAGTTCGGCCCTGGGCAGCCTCGAGGCGCGCTGCGTCGAGGCTGAACCGTCGTTTTGGGGGTGCGAATGTAAAAAATAATGTCTTTGGGGCCATGAATGATTTTTCTTTTCATTCGACAGTCCATTCCAATAGTTTCAATATCATCAACACCACGTCTGGACTTTTTGCTGCGGCCATCTTCTGAATGCTGACACGCTCCTTGTTTTTCATATGACGGATAAACATCCAAGCTGGTCATGACTTGTGTGTGAGGCATCCCTGAAAAACCTTCGGCGTTAGCTCACCATGACACGTTCCGCGCCCAGTCCTCCTGGGCTGTGAGCGGACCCAGGCAAGAATCTGCCCGCGGAGCTCTGGAAGGCGCCAAGTCTCCTCCAATTCGAGCGCCTGGAAGACAGCAAACTCCGTTGGGAGCGGAGGAAGGCGGGTCATGATGCTGGTCATTGGTGACACTCGGTGATGAACTTTCAGCACTTGATTTGTGATCATTTCTTGATATAAGGATCGATATATGATATATATATAATATATGTGTAAGGAATCTTATTTGGTAAGGATTGGCCGATTGGCCATGCGCTTGAAACAAATGCCTGTTTGAAGAGTGATTAACCCATTCAATGAGCGTTCAATCATGCTCAAGCTGACCCCAAACCAATCTACCAATACACGTCGACTTGGAAGATCTTTCACTCTAGCACACCTGATTGTTTGTGCGCGCTCTTTGGAAGCACCCATGTCAAGGAGCACTTCTGCGTGGATTCTGTGGGACATCACATGTTCTTTTTTGCGTGTCGTACATGCATGATTATGTATGATATATCATTCTAGCTAAAACTGAACACAGTCAGTCTTAGAGCCTGCTCATGGCAATGCTCCCTCAAGGAACAACGTGCTTTGCATGCGCTGCAGCGCATAGCACGCGCTCTATTTTGGGGACTCGCACAGAGTTCATCCAAGTCCCATCTCCGATCCGTTCGCTAGAAAGTTTAACTCCCTCAGCTTTGTAGCCAACGGAACCCCTAACACAAGCCCAAAGCCAACTTCGGCGACTCTGAAGATCTGCGAGTCTTGGCATCTCATGGGGCTTGCCGAAAAGTCTGCCTTCCTACGGGGGCCTTGCTCTGACTCTCAGGTTTCTAGCGTTGAGAGTGGAACTGGGTTCAACGGTTGAAGCTTCAAGGAGTAGAGTCCGGTGCAGGTTTTGAATCAGCAAGGCTCATTGGGCGAAAGCTAAGCAAAACCCAGGATCCGGGTATATTCAGTACTGAATCGTTTTAAGCCCAACAATATGAGTTTTGGACCATTGCATTCAAAGAGCCCTCATATGCTTCTTTAGATAGGCAAATTCTGCTCCGAAAAGTCTTGACGATCTCCATTGCTTTCAGATTTGTCATTGTAGCTTGTTGAAGTGACATGCATACGTTATGAGTACATTGGAGTTGCTGGCGACGCCGAAGAGCTTTCAGAACTTCTTTATATGTATAACTAATTAGTCCATCATCAACCAACTTGCCAGGGCAAGGCCCGATTCCGGGCAGTGTTCATCAGGCCACTTTGGACTTCCTTGCCCGTTTCAGCTTAGATTGCGCGTTCAAAGCTGCAGCCACGGCTTCTCCCGTGACGCTGCGCTTCCCGCTGCCTTCGGGCAGTTTTGACATGAATGGCATTTGTGAAGGTCAAGCAGCTTAAGTTGCTCCTGATTTGCAACACAACACCTACGTTACAATGGTGCCCTGCTATCCCAAAATATCAAACACCAAATGCATCACACAACCTTGTTGTATCCCCTGCCTTATGTCTTAACTCATGGAACAATCCCCCGATCTCCGTCTGCAATGGTCTTCCAAGACCCGCATCAGAGACCCATCTTTTCCGCACCCATCCATGATCTGCTTGCAGTGCCAGGAGGGGATGAAACTGTGTAGGGTGTTGGACATGGTTTTGAAAGGTGCTCAACATCTGCCAACATGGACATGGAACAAATTGCTGGATGGAGGCTCCTGGTGGGACCACCTATATAGTTCACCGATGGACCCTGTTGAATGGAGCTGCATCTCATTACTAAAAGAAGAGTATCCATCCATCCAATCCCAATCCCTGTACGCCCTGAACGATTCCCCTGAAACCTGAAAACCACCTGGGTTGAAGCTTCATCTTCCTTGCAGGTCCTTGCCATCAGGTTTCCATGTGGGTCTTCTTCCCGGGTGTCGATTGACCTGAAAACGATCCAGTCCCGGCCGTGCGGGGCACGCGCGGCGCGCCGCCGCGCCGCGGCGTTCCGCCTGAAGAGGCTGCTCCCGGCGACTCCCCCGAGGGGGTGGCCCGCTTCAGCAAGCTGGGCCGCCGTTGTGGTGTGGCCAGGGCCTGGGCCTTGGTGGCTCTGAGGTTCTTTTCTGCTGCTCCGAGGCTTAGAATGGCGAGGACCGTGCTGTGCTGCGCGTCTTTTTTGGGCCGATGTCGGTCGGTTTCGCTGGATCTTCGTGGATCATCATGTGTTTCTTTCACCGTCAGCTGACGCTTGGTGAGGCTTGGAGTCCCTAGTGTTGCCCCCACACGTTCCGTTTATCACTTCAATACGTTTTGAGCCCCAGTAGAACCTGAGAACCTCACAGCATGGGCGCCCTGCGCCACGACTGCGCCGGCCTGGTGCCGTGGACTTCCGCGGACGAGGCATGCGCATGAGTTGGCCGCGATTCCAAGCGTTGCTTGCATGCTATTTATTATGTACGCTACTAGTATTTTTTCGAGGGGTCCGTTTTTTCTTTGAACTCTTTTGTTGCGTTTGGTGATTTGTTTGTGCGATAGTTCCCTTAGTGGAACTTGAAAAGCACTGCGTTTGGGGGATTCTTTTTGTGCCGTCGTGGTTGCTCTATAGTTCCTTCAGTGAAGTGAAAAAGCTATATAGCTGTTCCCCGAATGAAAGAGTGTTGTTCATATGATGCACTTGGGTTGTTCCTTAAGGTGAACCCAAGCACAACCATCAGTGCAGCGGAAACACAGAGTGAGAAAAACATACAAAGCCAGAATTAGCAAGCACAAAGCAACAAAGACAATAGAAAGAACCAGCCCTTATGATTATAGGAATCAATACACCACAATAGACAAGAAGAAGGAAAGTACAGGAGAAAAGTCAGGAAGAACAAACCAAGCGCAAAGGGAGCAGGACAAGTAAGGACAATAATGGACAATACAATTCACAAAGGAAAAGCAAAACAAGCACAAACAAACGGAAAAAAGCAAGAAAAGCGGGAGCATTGTCTACAGAAAAAGCAATGAGAAGCAAGAAAAGCAGGGGAGGTCATAGAGGTTCAAGGAAAAGCAAGAAAAGCAGTCAGAAGCAAATCCAAGAAAAAGATCTTCAAACTCAACAAAAAAGAATACCTCCAAAAATAGTCATCCTTTTTCGAGGGGCCATGGAGAATCAACTTCTGAAGCAGAAGATTGCAAACGCGTGTTCTTTTCAGCATCTTCCACGAATCCTCCAAGGTTCCCTGCCTTGGCAACCTCAGGATCTTTGAGCGCAGCCGCTGGCGCCACGCCAACGGGGCGGTCTGGTGAGTCCTAGATTTCAGTCAATCTCTGCAAGATTTATATAGATCATTTAATTCTTGCAAGATTGCATGACGATTGCATGCAAATTGATTGCTTCTCTTGCCATGGGGTTGTTGACGGACTCCCACTTTGTGGTAAACAGCCGTGCACAGCGGTTCATGGTTGAACCGCTCATCCCCCCCCTCCTGCAGCGCAATATTCGCCGCCGGTCGGCCAGAAGAAGGACGAATCGCGAAGAGTTGTGCTGGCATGCTGCCTCTGGCCTTGGTCGGGGGATCAGCTGCAAAAGCTGATGACCATGATGACCGTCCGGGAGTGTTTGGGGTGGGTTTTGACATGTGTTGATCCTGCGGCGTACATCTTCAATCGGGCGTTGTCCAAGACCGGTCGGGACTCTGATTGATCCGTTTGTGGAGGTCCGCAAGCCAACAGCTGGTTTAAATACAAAACTCTTGTACTATCCAAATAGCTATCTTGAGGCTATAACTATCCATAATCTTGAAGCCCTCTGAGACCTCCAATCCCCTGAATGTACAACAAATCCAAACATCCATCTGTGGGGGTGTTGCAACCAAGATCTAACTACATAATTAGATAAATTTACCATAAGATATGATTGAATATATACTATATAAGTATATGGTTTCACCTTCCTATACCAGGGGCTCTAACTGAAACGATCTCAAACGCTCCCTATTCTTCAACTGGCTCCAAATACAATATATATATATATATCAATTTCCGTTCACTGGAATTGTCCAACCGAACTCCTGCCGAACATTCCATCCACCCCCACATGTCCCCCCCCGCTCTGAAAGGATCCACGGCGCCGCGCCCTGCAGCAGCTGCGCCCCCTGCAGCCCCAACTCTGGGCAACGCTTCTCGCACACGTAGCGCAGCACGCAGCCCGCACGGTGCACCGCGTCACTGCTGGGATCCTGTGCGAAATCAGCGGAAGAACCAGAGGGATTCCGCAGCTTCTGGTGGAAAGATCGCATTGATTGGAGGGTTTGGGTAGGGGGCGTTCAAACGTAGTGTGCACTTGTTTGTGCGCATACAATTCTAACATCAAGGGCCTCTTGGCTTACGAGATCAGAATGGATGTTCCACATGTTTTTATATAGGTCAAACCACTTCGTTTCGAGAATATTTCTGGCCCCTGTAATGGGTTCTCACCTACAACATGATTATATAGTGGAGTTGGCCGGAGGAGGATTGAATTGGCAGTCTCATTGAACATCAAGTGCTGGTACAATATGGTATAATATATTCTTTGGTTACACTTCATTGCTGCAGGACTTGCCCCTTATCATTGTTAGCAGGACAGCATGCTGGCCAAAATGATGATGCTGGCCCAGCATGGGATCTCAACCTGTACCCTTCACATGCCCAAATCAGTAGCACCGCACTCACAACAGTGGGGACAAAACACATCGCAATGATGGCCCTTCATGGCTGCTCTCTCCCTCCTCTCGGTCCACAAAGTAGCGCACACGATCGCACACACGTAGGGCCACACCCAAGAGCTCTGCGCTGTGTTGAACATCGCATCGAAGGAGCGCATCACAAAAGAATGCCGCCACCTGAGCCAGGGCGTGTTCACCATACACCCGAAAAACCTTCCTTCGGGCTTGAAGCCTAGTAGTAAACAAGCTTATACAATCAAATTTAAATCATTTCACATCACCCTGCCACCCTGCCTCCTCAATGGCAACCTATTGATCCCTTAGATCCCTTCATCATCCTTCATTCTACACTCTTGAATTTCACCACGGTACTAGAAAGACTCACACTTCCGTGCTTCAACTTCCTCCCACCAGTTACCGCGCATCGCG